AAAGTCTCCCCAACAATGTTATCTCAGGCGATTCATCGAAACCCACTTTCTCTTCATATCTAAATTAGTAACTGACTCATGTTTATTGCATACACACAGCGTGCACAAATCCAAAGTCTCAGGATAACATGATCATACGCTAGTTCATTTACATACAGAAAAGCTGTGACCACATCCGCTTCCTTTCCTACATCTTCTTCACGCGTATTCATGCAAGCAGGACAAGCACAAAGTAGCCGACCAAATCATGAAATGATTCATTAAGAGCGCAGAGCAAGCTTCAAGATTTAAGTGGAATTTTGACCGCCCGGACTTATTGGTTTATTGTTTTTTTGTGATTGTTTACAAATGACGGTTTATGGCTCTGTCGATAACCGTAATATCACGGACGAAAGCTGAGCATGGATGGATCGGGATCTCAGGAAAGCGAGCCGAGTTCTTATTCGCCTACTCAAACAGTCCCGCGTCCAAGACAACCCTAATTGGGTATCAGGTGAGACCAATTTACGAATCCTTTCCACCCGCCTTCTCAAACGAAACTGAGGGTATGCCAGTATCAAATCACCGTATTTCGTTTAAGTGGATGAAGCATTAGTAAGTGAATTTGTCATTATGAATTGAGTTGGCCTCACGACAATAAGTTTTTTTCTCTTTCCCGTCGTGACGGATAACGTCCTAAGCAAAGACTTTCTCTTATGGAAACATTCACCAAAACAACTTTCGTGCTTTAGTGGTTTAATTTTTGGGTCTTTATTACGCAATCCAATCGTCACAACTACCCAAGAGCATTGTTAAAGAGACCTCCATTTCGCATGAAAGTGTGTCTGATGAAGAGATTCTTTCGTCCATAAGACTTCCTCTCTCATTTTGAGTGAATCCAGGCTAAGCTTTTGTCCGACATTGATGATTTCACCCGAAACGAGGGAGGAGACTCGTGGAATGCGCCAACCAGAAGGTCGTATTCAAGCCAAACGGCTGCAGATGAACGGGAATCGTACGTCGTCCTCTAGTGAGATCATCCAATGAATCTCTTCATCATGCACTTTAATAAGAAATTAAATTTTCCACAACAATATTACTTTAAGAGAGGTATTGTATCTCAGCAACTCTTTGTATGCTCAAAAGCGATCCTCATTCTGGTTTTGCTGAGGTCATTGAACGATTCTCCTCAAATCTTATTTACAAGCCAAATCAATGGTATCCCGTCTCTATCTTTTGGGGGATTCTTCAAAAGCCCTCTTATTTTTTACTCGACTTTGCGTCCGACAAAATAGTTCTCCTCTGAGCACGACTGACGCCCACACGGTGTTATCCCGTACGTCGGAATTGCTTGAAATGGGCGTATTTAGTCTTCTCCGGCCCAGGACACGAGCGGAGCATGGAACCGCAGGCCGACCCCCGGCTGTAAACTCCAACTGAATTCGATTGCCCCAACAACTTGGCGACTTCGGACCTCTCCATCCGTTGACGCTCTCCAATTCTATGATTCGAGCCCCGCTCAGGCTGGCCTCGTCTCGAGTGGACAAGGCGGATTGAAGGGTGTGAATTTCACTGATGAAATAACGTATACCTCTCTCCCACTCTCTTAAACACGCAGACACGCACACACACATACACATACATACATACACTTCATCTCATACCGTGAAGCCCAGGTTGTCCTTATCTATGATAGTGTCTGTAGGCGAACGCACTTTTGTGAAGGTGTACACAAATGCTCTCTCTCTCCCCCTCCCTCTTCTCATTGATATACATATATATATATATATATGTGTGTGTGTGTGTGTATATAGTAAGGTATAACCACGTACGTCCACATGTGAAGAAGATTGGAAGTGGGCGGCCTCGTGTTTCGCCTCCGCGTCAGAGGTGAGTAAGAGGAAACGGGCCAAGCGATTATAAACGAAATACTTGGTCACAGAGGCGTGGCAATTCGTCTGTAATTAATTAGAAACAGGAAACGACTAGTGTTTGGGCTGATAACCTGAATTTCCTGCCTACAGAACGGCCGGTCTCTGGTGGTAGCCGAGGGCTGAGACGGACACAGCCGGACTCTTCCCCTGCTGTATCAAAGGAGGGTTGGCAAAACATTTTCATCTGCCAAGCTGGGCGTGAAGAAAGCCCGAAGAGCTCCAGGTTATGCTGAATACAAAGAGCCAGCAGAACGCATCCGTTACGAGTTGAGGTGAACCGAAATGTGTGAGTAGATTTGACGTCGACTCTAGTCCCAAATCACGCTCCTCATTTGGCCGTCAGTAGCGGTTTCTGTTCGCAATCACCAAGAGCCTGGTTGTCATAACGACCGGCCAGCCTATCCGACGTATTGAAGATGAGTTAACTGTTAACTTGTTTTACACTTTTCATCTCCACCTCAGCTTCTAGTCAGTACTTCTGCCGGGATTCGAACCGTTGACGTGTGAGGCATCAACTCTTTGGCCACACGATCCTAGCCCGGTAGGCAATCGTGTGCTCGCTATTGGGCTCGATTCGCGTTGCCAGCTAAGTTGTTTAGTAACCCTTCGATTGGAGTCCCATCAGGTTGCTTGATGCGATGATGGGCAAGGCTGCCCGGAGATGAGAATCTATGGTGCAGTGAATTTGGTGCGAAAAGCTGGCCTTCTCTTCGACCAGCCATGGCCAGAATTCCTTGGCTTGAATCCCTCTTAATCGTGTACACAATCGACTGGACTGATGGCGACTCTGTCCACATTGAAACAATGTGACTTTTGCATCAAAATGCTTTACGTAAAAGATTGTCAAGGACCGATCTTGTCCATAATTAATGATACCTCATCGTTTTGCCAGCATCCATAATGAGATTCTAACAGTTCATAGGCAGATTCAGATACCAATAGACCGTGCTAAAAGGAGCCAAAGTGTGGCTTTCATGGTGACGCCTACTCCTATTTTTGTTTATCCACAGTTTAGATTTCGCCGTAATCTCAATTGGCGAACATGCACTTTCTATACACAAAGGAAAGTTGGGTTTCAAGGAATCTCTTGTTTCATAGTTGTTGAGCCAACTTCCATTTCGAGTGAAAGTGTTTGGTGAAGAGATTCGA